ATTGGAGGCAATTGTTTTTATGGGAATACCAAAATAATACTTAAATATGAAGCACTGTATGTTAATTTTAATTTCTTGAATTTACAAAGTGACTACTGCATAAACCATTACCCTGATATAAAGTAACATGCAGGGGCGGACTGGGACTAAAATTCAGCCCTGGAAACTGACCCAGTCCGGCCACATGAAATGTCAAATGTTAGAAATCCGCTGTTTATTGTTTAAAGTTTTACGTCCGACTCGCTCCTTTTTCCCTCTCTGTGCACAGCTCCAGTTTGGGCATTGGCCTGTCATCAGATTTCATTTTGAGCTGCTTCCTGTAGCGGAAGTTTAGTAAAATTATTTTTGATGAAATACTCCAAATCTCCACCCTCCATAATTGCACTTGCTTCAGTTGCTTGCTACTTTTTAAGGGCAGTGATGACAGTTACAGTACGAACTGAAGTTGATGCGATTTGATTTGATTGTGAGGCATGACGTGCATCATCTGATTGGTCAATCCCTCAATTCTTTTCACCAAGGGAAGCCAATTTCGGCTAGCCTCCTCTCGCAACAGAGTGCAATCTACTGTTTCACCATAACATCTAGAGGGGCGCTGTTTCACTCTTTGTAAAATACTCAATGAGAATGGGGGAGAGATGGGCCGGCGGAATAATTACCGAAACTAAACGAAGTGTTTTTATGTATTTATTAAAATTATAACTACAATCCAAAAAAACAGGGGAAGCCTGGCTTCCCTTGGCCTCCAGGAGAAAACGCCACTGAGTTCAAGGGATAATTCTCACCCACCTCTTGCTCTTGCCCTGCACGTGTGCCAGTTGAGCTGGTTCTTCCAGCAGCTCAACTCTGTCCCTCATCATGAACGCAGGAGGCTGGCTGTATATCTGAACTCACGCCCTCATCATTCTCTTCATCATCTTGCACTTGTTCTAAGCTGCTGCTGATAATGCTCGTAGCAGCGCTGCTGCCAAAAAGGTCTGTCAATTTGCGACATGTATATGCTTCACCTGCGAGTGACTTCATCTTTTTTGTTCTCGCCTTCTCGGCCCCACCTTTTTCTTTTCGTTTTCTTTGATTTGTATCCATGTTTTTTTATTCTTCCTGTCTGCCGCGGCGTCTAATCCCTTCTCTTCGTGTGGCCGGTCTTTTTTCTTCTTCGTGTGTTGTTGACAGATAAGAACCACACATTTTTTTTTAAAAGGGCCGGCCGGCCGTCAACGGCCCTTGACGACCGGCCGTTCTGTGGTTCTCCAGATTCTACAGATGGCCAGTCCGCCCCTGGTAACATGTACTGCGATATAAGATTTCTGCCATGTTTTCCACCACAAGTAGGCAGGGTCAATGACCTGATCCAGCATATTTATTTTTATTTTAGGTGGAACTGCACTTATGAAACACATTTTAATAATCTACCATTATTATTTGGAAAAAATACAATCAGGTGAGTCATGTCAATTTAGATTATTAATTAGATTATTTATTGGGCTCGTTACAATTAGGTCAAACAACAAAAAACTAGGTCATGATTAAAACAATTGTTGTAACTGTGTATTCTAAATCTTCTATCAATAAGAAGCTGAAAAAAAGGAAATAAAGATAATTATACCACGATATTACTTTGGTAAACTGTTCAATATTAAATGATGTTTTACTCACCATTACAGAGCGGTAGCAAGCTCGACAGGACAACGCAGCAAAATGAAAACCGACCCATGACTCTGTCGCTGTTGAGTGTAACAACGGCTTATTTATAGGTACACTCGGGATGACAATAATCCTATTGTCTTCACAGAACATATATCTGCCTTTGTCTTCAGAATTATATCATGTTACAGAAGTTGTGTAAACGTTTTTCTTAATGTAATTATCAGACACAGACTGTAGAAATGTCAAGAATGCAGTTGGAGCTACACTTGAGACTGAAATGTCTAGACCAGTGGTTCCCAAACGGTGTGCCGCGGCACACTGGTGTGCCGTGAGGCAAGTCCGGGTGTGCCGTGGGATTTTGTGACAACCATACGTTATTATTGCAATATTCAACTACACAACAAATAATTATTTTTTAATTTACTATATTAGTACTATGTAGGTTTATATGTACGTAATCTGCGCGACTTGTGCGTCCACATCTCCACGTGCAGTGCTGCATAAACATGGCTGAGTCAGCGATAACTTTCGAGGGGTGGAGGTATGCGCATTATTTTGAGTTCGTCCCATAGACTGTAGGTGTAGGTTCGTCCGAAGAATAGACAGGAATGTGACGGTGAGGTGCAAACTGTGTCCAGACCAGAAGCTGTTATCCACTGCTGTAAACACCACGTCAAACCAGTGGCGTAGCCACCATAGGGCCAGGGTGGGCCCAGGCCCACCCAGTTTACTCATTGGCCCACCCTGAGTCATTTTAATTGTTTTTAATTGTTTTTAATTTTATTATTATTATAAAAAAATGTATTCACCCATTGAGAATATCCAAGCATTCAAAGTGAAATTCAAGTGAACAAATATCGAGTTTAATTAATGTTGTATGTGTTTTATCCTCTGAACCGAACTCATTTACGGTAACAACTGATTGTTGGTTCCGGCGCGGGCCATAATAACATGAGAGAGGCAGAGAGCTGCCTGCAAAATAAATGATGGCTCAAAGTTCACTAATGAACTTTGGTTTTAAAAAAAAAAAGCCAGACTCCAAGAAGAGCCCCCACTGCCCTCATCTAGCAGTGATCTATACGATCATTTTCTGATAACAATGAAATAGCCCCGCCTCCCTCTCCCCACCTCTCCTGCTGCTGGGCTGTCAGAAGAAGAAAAATGTTAACGGAAACTCTGCCGCACGGTTCCCTCGTCCCTTGGAAGAGGCGGAGAGGTGGGTGTTTTTCATCTGCTGGTGGACAGTCCGGAAAGATATAGACAGGGTTGGGTTGTAACGGAATACATGTAACGGCGTTACGTAATCAGAATACAAAAATCAAGTGTATTCAGCTGGCGTTACATTTGAAAAACGAGTAATCTGATTACAGTTACTTTCGTAAACCTGAAGTGAATACATTTTGGAATACTTATTGGAATTATTGGTGGAAAAGTTTCCTCACAAAATGTAAATGTAATTCATTACCGGCAGAACTGTGTGCACACTGCATACTGCACAGCGCTGCAGCATGTCTGTGAGCGAGAGAGAGATGCAGCGTGTCTGTGAGGCCCCGCCCCCGCACGCAGATGAGAGAGAGAGATCTCTTTTAAAATATATTGAAAGTTAGAAACGGAGATGGTTCGATAAAATGTGCAAGATAACGTTTATGTAGCATTTCTTTATTGTCGAAATGATTACATTTATAACGGGATCAAATCAAAGTGAATGGCCTGCTGCTGCTGAATGCATGGGGCAAGTGACTGGAAAAAGTTTTAAAAGTTATTGCATCGTTTCAGATAATAATAATACATAATAATGATAATACATTTTATTTAGGGGCGCCTTTCAAAGCACCCAAGGACACCTTACAATTCATAACATATTCTAAGGAAAGGTTTTAAGACAGTACAAAGAATGCAGTCCGGGTGATGTTTTTTATGCGGGGTGCAGATGAGAGAGCTGTCCAGAATGAAACCAAGATGTAGTGTTTGTGCTCTTGATAAGCCATTAAAACAGTAAAATACGTGTTTCCTGTTCACCAAAACATACCCATCTGTTATGGAAAAAGAAAGTATTCCAAAAGTATTCTAAAAGTAATCTGCCACCGGTACCGGCGGGGATTGTTGTTAGCTTCTGATGCGCTGATGAAAAATCTGGCCCACCCATATTTTTTACAGGCCCACCCTAAAGTACATTTCTGCCTACGCTACTGCGTCAAACCTCAACAAACACCTGCAAAGAACACATGCTAAGGTGAAGCTACCGGACACGCTATTTGTTGTTTGTTGATATCACGTAGTCTGTTCTTCTTCTCTGTCTTCCGGTTGTTGCCTGTTTTGAATGACAAATACACACTACCGCCGCCTGCTGGTAAGGAAAGTTATTGCCACTCACGCATGCGAAGTTCGTACGTGCTCGGCGAGTAAAGTAACGAGTTACTTTATGTAGATAGTAACGAAGTAGTGTAATATATTACTTTTTTAAAAGTAATATGTAATATATTAAACATTTTTAGTAACGACCCCATCTCTGGAGTTGGCGTTCTCTACTCTGGTTTACATGAAGAACAACAGGAGGTCACGGCTCTCTGTTGAACAGGACTTGCGAGTGGCCCTCTCCTCAGTGCAACCAAGGATTAAACAATTCTGCGCGCCCCGACAGGCACATGTATCTCACTAATTAGTAAGTCGGCAAAATATTTACAATAGCACATGTTTCAATGCTGATTGCTGAAATGTTACATTTATAATTTGTAGTTCAGGACCATGGACAATGCAGCTTCCTTGCATTGACAGTTCTCTGTGCTGAATTTCTGCTGAGTTTCCTTTGCCTCATTTTTTATTTTGTGACCTGTCTGGTTTAAATGAGTGTGTTGCTGCTTTGATGAAGCCTAATTTGATAAAGTTTCAAATTAATTTCTGAAATACTATTAATAATAATATTTCATGAGTAATATAGTTGTCTTTGTCACATTTTATTTGGCATTAGTAAATAATTATGCACATTTACAGATATTTTACATGATATGAGTGATAACACGTGTTATAAGGGCTATTTTGCACAATAGGTGTGCCTTGAGATTTTTACTTGTCCTTTGGTGTGCCTTGGGCACAAAACGTTTGGGAACTACTGGTCTAGACTAATGGCTACACCAATGTAACCGCAGTACTTAATCATTTGTCATTCAAATACACTTTATGAACAGGTACAAGTTACATAGTTTCTTTCCAACAATATTGGATATTGATACATAATTGTATTGTCATGCATAACAAATACTTTACCCTAATGACAACGGACAACATCTGATATATCTCACAAGGATTTCTTTAAAAAATTAAAGGTGTGAGATATTTCATGAAAGTTTGTTAGTTCTTAAAAAATGGACTTGAAAGTTGGACATCACATTCTTGAAACAATGCAAAATCCCAGAAAACGGTGTAAGCAGCAGACATGTCTTATTTTACTGTGATATAGTTTGTGTGTATACAATTTTTATAGTCCAAGTCCTTTTAAAGTCTTCATGGCCACAGGTTATGTTCGTTCCAAGTCACATTTTGGCAGCTTAGGTTTGGAGATTACATGCTGTCTAAGGAAAAACTGAAATCTCCTTAACTCTTAAGTTTTTATTAGGGTAAGGGTTCATCAGTGTTGAGCTTTTTTGTGAATGCCACAGTGATGTTACAACTAGTCGTCAACATTTCCACAGAGTATTTTTGATGCCTTATCCCGACGTCCACCAATCTTTCACGCTCTCCAGCTCTCTCCAAACTCTTTAACGTTCTTGGCCCTGGTACCATCTGGCTTCATCATGTCATTGTTTTTTTTACCGTCAAAGTTCCCACACAGACCCCCAACTTTCCTTTTATATATGCGGGGTAGAATGATCCCTGCAGAAACAACATAAACAACAGAGCATTACCGTATTACGTCTTTAACTCTCTTCCAGAAAAAAATTACTCATTAATTGACAATGTATGAAATTACATTGTGATTTAAGGATTTGTTGATGAATTACCTGCTCTGCCATGGCTGTCAAAATCCACGGAGAGGCCAAAGTCGGTCTTCAGGCAGATGCGAGAACAAAGTTCCCTGATTTTTAGACCAGCAGTCGGTGAGGCGGGAATTTTTGTTCTCCTTCCATCCACCTGGAGGGGGACAGAGAGGGGTAATTCCCAATGTAACTTATATTAAGTAGACTTGTCTGAGAAAATATTAAGTTTTAGCCATTTGTGTCAGTGTTACTGTAGTGATGGTTGTTGAGACTGAACAATCTCGACAGCTATTGGATACATTGGCAACAATATTTGGTACAAACATTCATAGTCCCCACAAGATGGTTATTTTCAACCTTAACATACATGTCTCTGTCAGGTTAATTTATAGTAATCACTTTTCAAGTGGCCCCTGCCATTGCAGCACAATCTAAATCCGTTTCTTCAGAACTCTTTACAAAAAAACAACATTATCAGACTCATTTGTACTGAGTTTAGTGCCACTGACTACAGCACTGTTTATGAGCGCCACACTTTGTAAAAAAAATGTCCATCCTCCATTGCTAATGTCCTTACAGCAGGGCCAAGAGGGAAATCTCACATTACAAAGAAAGATACAGCATGCATCAGTTGCATTTATGCTGTTGTAACAAGAAACACTGGTTATTCCACTCAGCGCTTTCACAGATGTCTTTGGGCTTGCAAGAATATGATGATCTTATCCTAATGTACCTGCTATGAAGGAGCCAAAGTTCAATGACATGGAAAGATTAATATTGTTAGAAATGTATTTGATACTTACAACCAGCCTCAGGTTTTTCTTTAATACCACAGTATGATTATACACTCTGATCTTAAGCTCTTGTAAGCTGTAGTTCTCCTTGTGCTCTTCACTTGAGCGATCGTGTGTGTGGTACTTGTTCTTGTTCTTGTTCTTGTTCTTGTTCTTGTTATAGTTCTTGTTCTTGTGCTCTTCACTTGAGCTGTGGTTCTTGTTCTTGTTCTTGTTCTTGTTCTTGTTCTTGTTCTTGTTCTTGTTCTTGTTATAGTTCTTGTTCTTGTGCTCTTCACTTGAGCTGTGGTTCTTGTTCTTGTTCTTGTTCTTGTTCTTGTTCTTGTTCTTGTGCTGTTTACGTGAGTGAGCATGTTTGCTATTATCATCATCATGGTCATCATCATGGTCATCATCATGGTCATTATCATGGTCATCTTCATCATCATCACCATCATACATAACTCTGCGACTGTGGTCTTCTTCACTGCTGCTGTCGTCATGTTGATGACTATCATCCTCATCCTTTACAGTGTTGATACCCTCGATGTAGACATGTGGAAGGTTATTTGGCAAGTAGTTGGTCCGGACCAGCACATACGAGTGGTCACCCTTAAACTTGTGTTTCATTTTATCAAATGATCTGTATTCAGGGTCTTCCCTGATGGTGCAGTCACTGAAGCCTGTGAAGAAATTCATAAATGATTTCACAAGATGTAACATGGTTAAGATATATCACAATTAAAAATAGTTAAATGGTGACACTTGCAGTACCTGTAGACTGGCAGTAATAATTGCCCTCATCATTTTGAAGGCAAACAGCTTTTCCATCGCACTCTTCTTTGTCATCGCAGTCAATCCGACCGACGCCATGGTCTTTCTCACATTCACATTTCTGACTGCAGTGATTGGTGTACCACACATCAGAGAACTGACAAAACAAAAGTAGCCGTAAGTATTTTATACTGTAAAAAACATGTGACTTTGATGAAGAGCTATTCTGTCACTCACATCATATTTGGTGCCATTCCTTTCCACACAACCACATTGTTCGATAGGCACACAAACCCTCTTTTTCTGAACAAAGCCTTCAGCACATACACATCCCTGCACACAACCCTCATCTTCAGTGCAACGTGGTGGGCCATTCAGGTGTGTGCAGGTTGGACTGCAGGCAGGGACACACGTGGTGTAGTGACTGTTCTCTGGACAAGAGGGTGCTAAAGAGAAAGAGTGTATATTATATATATAACAACAAAAGGTCAATACAAAGGTCTATAGTACAATCAGGGCTGAGTGGTAAGTCAAAGCCACATATCACATTTCACAAGCACTTACAAGAGAAGAGAAAAAGAGATCTCCGTCCTCGTGTTTTATTTTTATATGATTTATATAGAGTCATTATTAATTTGTTTTAAAGCTCAATAAATAACAAAGAAGACCTTTGACTGGCACTTTTCTAATTTTGTCCGGAAGATTTAAACTTTAACTGAAACTCTGCCGCACGGTCCCCTCGTTCCTTGGAAGAGGCGGAGAGGTGGGTGTTTGTCATCTGCTGGTGGACTAACCGGAGATAATTACAGCGAGGGAGGGATTGCAATGAATAACAGCAGCAGGAGCAAACGCTTGCCTCGGGGAGGGAGAAAAAGAGCCTCAGCGGAGAATAAACAGAAGGGCAACCATGGCCACCATGCAAGGGAAGTCTTCTTCGCTGTTTTTGTGGTAGACTACAGCGCAACTTACAGGCCTGTTATATGTACTACAGCGTCTCCAGCGCTTTCGAGCGGCAATGGCCGGCCGTGGCCCAACCCCACATCCCCCTGATAGGTGGAGAATTGACCACTAAGCGGAGCACCACTTTTGTGATGTAGAAAAAAATTCAAATCTGGATCAGTCTGTATCAGATCCGTTGCAGCCTCGTTTTTACAGATTTGGGTATGGAGGAAAAGAGAGAGGGTTGTGTTTTCTGACATTTGGTGAGTTCCCTGGAACACCGGGGACACATAATCATGTATAATAGACGTACAAAAGTGCATTTTGCATGATAGGTGCCCTTTAAATAATGTTTTTTTTGTTAATCAAACTAGAGGAGGTGACATTTCATCACAAATATGAACATGCCCAAAGCTTCAGGTTTCAATGGTGCCTAACCTGTGAGGTGTAAAGTATATATTATACCCAATCCATGTATATACGGAAATACTTTGAACTTACTTGGTACAGGTGTAACTGGTGGTTGAGGTCTTGCCGTTGTTGTTGATGGTGGTGTAGCTGTAGTTGTAGGCTGCGGACTGCCTGTTGTCGAATGTGGTTTATTAGTTGTTGTAGGTTGTTGTAGGTTGTGGTATTGCTGAAGTTGGTGGTTGTGGTGTAGCTCTTGTTGTGGTTTAACTGTAGTTTGTGATGGCTTTGGTGTAGCTGTGGTTTCTGGCTGTGGTAGAGCTTCAGTTGGAGGTTGTGGTCTACCTGTTGTCGAATGTGGTTTATTAGTTGTTGTAGGTTGTTGTAGGTTGTGGTATTGCTGAAGTTGGTGGTTGTGGTGTAGCTGTTGTTGTGGTTGAACTGTAGTTTGTGATGGCTTTGGTGTAGCTGTGGTTGGTGGTTGTGGTTGAACTGTAGTTTGTGATGGCTTTGGTGTAGCTGTGGTTGGTGGTTGTGGTTGAACTGTTGTTTGTGATGGCTTTGGGGTAGCTGTGGTTTCTGGCTGTGGTAGAGCTTCAGTTGGAGGTTGTGGTCTACCTGTTGTCGAATGTGGTTTATTAGTTGTTGTAGGTTGTTGTAGGTTGTGGTATTGCTGAAGTTGGTGGTTGTGGTGTAGCTGTTGTTGTGGTTTAACTGTAGTTTGTGATGGCTTTGGTGTAGCTGTGGTTGATGGTTGTGGTTTAACTGTTGTTTGTGGTGGCTGTGGTGTAGCTGTTGTTGGTGGTTTAACTGTAGTTTGTGGTGGCTTTGGTGTAGCTGTAGTTGGTGGTTGTGGTTGAACTGTAGTTTGTGATGGCTGTGGTGTAGCTATGGTTGGTGGTTGTGGTTGAACTGTAGTTTGTGATGGCTTTGGTGTAGCTGTGGTTGGTGGTTGTGGTTGAACTGTTGTTTGTGATGGCTTTGGGGTAGCTGTGGTTTCTGGCTGTGGTAGAGCTTCAGTTGGAGGTTGTGGTCTACCTGTTGTCGAATGTGGTTTATTAGTTGTTGTAGGTTGTTGTAGGTTGTGGTATTGCTGAAGTTGGTGGTTGTGGTGTAGCTGTTGTTGTGGTTTAACTGTAGTTTGTGATGGTTTTGGTGTAGCTGTGGTTGATGGTTGTGGTTTAACTGTTGTTTGTGGTGGCTGTGGTGTAGCTGTTGTTGGTGGTTTAACTGTAGTTTGTGGTGGCTTTGGTGTAGCTGTAGTTGGTGGTTGTGGTTGAACTGTAGTTTGTGATGGCTGTGGTGTAGCTGTGGTTGGTGGTTGTGGTTTAACTGTTGTTTGTGGTGGCTGTGGTGTAGCTGTTGTTGGTGGTTTAACTGTAGTTTGTGATGGCTTTGGTGTAGCTGTGGTTGATGGTTGTGGTTTAACTGTTGTTTGTGGTGGCTGTGGTGTAGCTGTTGTTGGTGGTTTAACTGTAGTTTGTGGTGGCTTTGGTGTAGCTGTAGTTGGTGGTTGTGGTTGAACTGTAGTTTGTGATGGCTGTGGTGTAGCTGTGGTTGGTGGTTGTGGTTGAACTGTAGTTTGTGATGGCTTTGGTGTAGCTGTGGTTGGTGGTTGTGGTTTAACTGTTGTTTGTGGTGGCTGTGGTGTAGCTGTTGTTGGTGGTTTAACTGTAGTTTGTGATGGCTTTGGTGTAGCTGTGGTTGATGGTTGTGGTTTAACTGTTGTTTGTGGTGGCTGTGGTGTAGCTGTTGTTGGTGGTTTAACTGTAGTTTGTGGTGGCTTTGGTGTAGCTGTAGTTGGTGGTTGTGGTTGAACTGTAGTTTGTGATGGCTGTGGTGTAGCTGTGGTTGGTGGTTGTGGTTGAACTGTAGTTTGTGATGGCTTTGGTGTAGCTGTGGTTGGTGGTTGTGGTTTAACTGTTGTTTGTGGTGGCTGTGGTGTAGCTGTTGTTGGTGGTTTAACTGTAGTTTGTGGTGGCTGTGGTGTAGCTGTAGTTGGTGGTTGTGGTTGAACTGTAGTTTGTGATGGCTGTGGTGTAGCTGTAGTTGGTGGTTGTGGTTGAACTGTAGTTTGTGATGGCTGTGGTGTAGCTGTGGTTGGTGGTTGTGGTTGAACTGTTGTTTGTGATGGCTTTGGGGTAGCTGTGGTTTCTGGCTGTGGTAGAGCTTCAGTTGGAGGTTGTGGTCTACCTGTTGTCAAATGTGGTTTATTAGTTGTTGTAGGTTGTTGTAGGTTGTGGTATTGCTGAAGTTGGTGGTTGTGGTGTAGCTGTTGTTGTGGTTGAACTGTAGTTTGTGATGGCTTTGGTGTAGCTGTGGTTGGTGGTTGTGGTTGAACTGTTGTTTGTGATGGCTTTGGGGTAGCTGTGGTTTCTGGCTGTGGTAGAGCTTCAGTTGGAGGTTGTGGTCTACCTGTTGTCGAATGTGGTTTATTAGTTGTTGTAGGTTGTTGTAGGTTGTGGTATTGCTGAAGTTGGTGGTTGTGGTGTAGCTGTTGTTGTGATTTAACTGTAGTTTGTGATGGCTTTGGTGTAGCTGTGGTTGATGGTTGTGGTTTAACTGTTGTTTGTGGTGGCTGTGGTGTTGCTGTTGTCGGTGGTTTAACTGTAGTTTGTGGTGGCTTTGGTGTAGCTGTAGTTGGTGGTTGTGGTTTAACTGTAGTTTGTGATGGCTGTGGTGTAGCTGTTGTTGGTGGTTTTGGTTGAACTGTTGTTTGCGATGGTTTTGGTGTAGCTTTGGTTGGTGGTTGTGGTCTATCTGTAGTGTGGGGTTCATTAGTAGATGTAACAGGATGCTCTTGTCCTTCTGTTGTTTGAGGGTTTTCTGTCATTTCAGGTTCTGGTTGATGTGAGGGTTCAACTCCTGGGTGCTCTGTTGTCAGTGGGTGGGGTCTAGCTGTAGTTTCAGGACCAGTTGTGGTAGTTTCTTTTGGTTTGGAGGTTGTTGAAAGCTGTGGCCTTGTTGTTGTGTCTGGCTTTGTAGGGGATTGTGTATCAAAAGCAGTTGGAGCTAGGTCTGTAATGATATTTCACAAACAAGTCAGACACATTCCCAGTTACAATGTGTGTGAACAAAATTGAATGTCAGCAAGAGAAAATAGTTACCTCTGCAGTGTCCACGATGAAGTGATACATCATCTATAGCAACATCAGACTGATCATTGGAACCTATTTGCCCCTCAATTATAACCTGAAATAAATTGCACAGGTTCATGCTAAAGTACAGTATACCCAACCCAGTCTCACGGCATTTCGTGTTCACCAACACGATTTTTAATCTATTGATTCGTGTTCACCAACACGATGTTCCCCTTTTTTTTCGTGTTGCACAGCACGATTTTAAAAGCAATGTATTTCTACTGCCTGCAGCACGTCTTTTTCTCCGGTCGGGTCGAGGAAGACCGGAAGCTGTGTGGTTCATAAAAACATGTTCTTACTCAATATCAAGCCACAGTTATTGCTTTTATTTGAAATCGTATAATTTCGGACTTTTGTTGACGTCTGTGAGGAAAATAAATGGGGCTCAGAGCCTCAGGATACGGAAATCTGTATTTTTAAACATTTGTTTTCTTCTAATTCGATATTCTTTTCAAAATAACACACTGTTATTTACTCACCAATAACACACAATTATCCTTGCTTTATTTATTGGTTTAATTCCATAATCTCGGGCTTTTTTTGGCGTCCGTCAGGAACTGAATTTCAAAATAAAAATAACCGGAAACAGACGTAGGCCTATAAGGGACATTTCGAGCATCATTGCGATTGTCAACATTTCTGAGTTTAGGATGGCCTAAAACACTACACTACCCATAATCCCCAGCTATCGTTTAGGACTACAGTCCCCGTAAGGTTACGCAGAGCGTCAAACAGCTGTGTGAAATGGAACAAAACCACGCCAGACTATCCAAAACTGGAATCGAACGCCCCCCCAGAACTACACATGCTGGCTGTGTTTCGCAAAATGTTCTATGGGACGTCTCTACTGAACTTTTTCATTTTTACCACAATTAGAAGTTGCCAGTATTAAACACATTGGTGTTATCAAATATAAAACATATAATTAATAAATGGGTGAAAATCGCTTGTGTCCATAATGCGCAGCATTAATACCCACATGACAGCTCATTGTTACTTTGTAATTCTACTCCACTACAATTCAGAGGTTAACCTGGTATTTTTACTCCACTGCATTTATTTGAGTTACTTTGCAGATTCTGATTAATTATGTGAAATATAAACAACCCTTAAATCAGACTTTAGTTACACCTGAGTAAAATTCAGGTAAGGTGATTGTCAAGTGCCAACAATCAGGACAGATATTTGATAGTTGGTGCTTGAGAAGACTAAACATGTATCTGCAATTGACATGAATGGAAACGAGTAATAAAGTATATTCATTACTCGTTATTCTCTACTAATAGTTAATTAAAGACTGTATATTATGGCTATTTTGCACTTCCCTTTCAAGATTTTCAAAGGTGTATTGACATATCATATACACAACTACGGTGTAGTTATGCAATGAATGAAACACTTGGGTCACAGGTTCCTCAACAGTGCATTACAAGACATCTATCAATATGTGTGTACCTCCACCATTAAACTGTCATATTCTGCACATTTCTTATTCTATCTACATACATAAGAGTATAACTCATATGTATAATATCAGTTAAAATAAGTGCTTCAACATAGTTAACATTGCAGGAAAGCAATATATTAGACGTTAAGTACTTTGTCAGGCTTAATATTTATCTGTAGATAGATACCCCCAAAGTTTTTTTCTTATTTAAAAGAAGACCTTAATCTGTTATTTATGTTTAAATAAAGGTTAATTCGTTTTTCTGTTTTGCACCTCCTCCTATTAATATCTTTGTACATTCTGCACTAAACTGTTTTATTGTAGAGATCACTTATAGTATCTTCTTGATTTTTTATATTCTATATTTATACTTTCCCCCTATGAAAGTATGTACTCTTAATATTTTTTTAATCAAATACAAATTCAATAACGTGCTTTAACCACTAGGTGGTGCACACAAGGTACACACAGCCATAATAACTTTGTATTATGTGTAGGACACTTTTGTTTTCGTACAACATCTGAAAATGTGTAGTTTTATGCATGCCTTCACATAATTTTACAGCATATTGCTGTACTATTTCAGACTCAGTATTTACATTCTTACATTCAAAGAAAATCAGTAATATCTTTAAAAACTACAGTCCTTTTATCAGGGCTCGCAATTAACGATGTCCCGATGTCCCGGGGACCATCAAAATTCCTACTGGGACACAAATCTATTTTGTCTGGGACTATTTCGGGACAGTGAAAAAAAAATTAAAAGTAAACTTCAAAATGGGTGTTATTTGCAAAGTCATTGGGCTGTCAAATCATAGAATGCATTCTACGTCATCCACTCTGCTGCTGACTGCTGCTAGACTCGCACCAATGCAACGGTCACGACAGTTAAAAAAGTAGAAAGACATGCTGAGGTGGTTGAATAAACAGCCCCCTGATGCAAGCCCCAATTCTGCCGACTCCCGAAACGAAAACATCCCAAGTCCTGGTCATGATGCATCGTCTTCCACTGTGGTAAGTTAGTTGTCTTAAGTGTCAATGTTAGCTAGCGCCAACTAACGCTAGCAACTGAAGTGTGCCTTACAATCATGGATGTATAATAAGAACTGGATACAGCGTGGGAGGCGGGGCCTCATTCATTCCTATGAGAGCTGCTCATTAGCGCATGATGATAAAATGGCCCAACTTTTGAGAGAGTGAAACGTCACAGATTACCCAGCATGCCTGAGAAGTACCCGTATGTGCGCTCATAGAGCATGCGCAACTTTAACCAAAATGCTCGTTCACATCAAGCACGTCAATTTGCGTACACGTAACGGCACCGCGCGTTCATGACAGCATGGTAATGGATGTTGTTATCATGGATTTGATATGAACGAGGCGGCAGTTAGCAGCTAGCTAGTAATGATGCTAATGTACACATCAATCGTTATTTTATGTACTTATATTACGCTGTAACAGGATCTAGTGATATCCAACAGAGCTTCATTTAGCATGAAATAATTATTGCACTGTATATATATATATTTATAGACAGTGCAATAAGCTTCTAAGTGCAATACGAAGCTACAGGGACGTTAATAATGTCGGTAATATTAACTTTATTTAATACAACATTTACGGTACAAGATGTAATCATACAGCCCATGTAGCATGATAATGAATTACAGCAAACATGTGCAATATATCCATTATTACAGCTCCGTGGGATGGCAGTAAGACGATATGGATCCGTTCTTATTGTGCATCCATGGGTAAAGATAAACGCAACTCACATTGGTTTCTCAAACAGCATCTCTGTAAACTATGTGTATTCACTGAATTTCACTCTCTGCCTTTAACGGCTCGTTGTAGCTCCAATAGCTTCAGCCCCCACCCTCCCTGTGAGCACAGTGTGCTCTGATTGGTCGGGACACGTAACATGAACGTGCCGGGCGAAGCGGTGCCGTGGGTTAGATGCGCGTTCATAATGCAGAGGGAAATAACTCTCAGAATAACGTTATTAGCACATTTTTACAACTTGAGGAACAAATGTTTTTAATAAGGGCTATACAAGTGTTCATACTGGGTAGTTTATTTAGTTTTAAAAAAATGATCTAACGAGTTACAGACCACTCTTTCCCCATGTAAGTCAATGGGAAAAAGTGTTTCCGGGCCTGGGAACCAAACGGAAGTGTAGTACCGCCGTTTGGCCAACACGAATATTTTCATCTGAGTCCGGCGCACTTCCTGGGGGCTTGCTTACAATGCAATGGGTGAATGAGTGAGAGCAAGATGATTGACATTCATGAATGAAGATAGAAGATAAATAGATCAATGAATAGATCAATTTATATTCCTATAGTACTACTGACTTGTGAGGATAACTTGTAATTAGAACTGAAAACAGATACATTTATTAAACTGTATTATGGAACTTCTGTTTTTTTATTATCATTCATACCACTTGTATTGCCAGATGGAGGGTTCCGATCATAAAACACAGAGACCATACAGCCATACCATATTGAATTGAAAAATACAAATCAGAATTCTTCTATGTTGACATGACAATGATAAATTAGTCTGGATATTGAGAAACAATAGAAAAACATGTCTTAAAACAACTCTCTTCCCTTCTACTCTAGGAGAGGCAACAGATCAGACTAATATGCATATGTTTAAAAGAACAAGTATTTTAAACTTACATGGTGGACCAGAGTCTATGGTGTGATGATTAAGTGACAAAAAAGTATCAAATTATATGTATTCTGCATAATTGGGGGGGCGACGATACAAATTTAAATTTGGGACACTGCTGGTTATATCCGGGACAATACAAAGTAGAATTCGGGACAGTTGTGGGACACTGAGGAAAAAAGTAAATTTCGAGCCCTGCCTTTTATATCAGCTGTGCACCGTTATGGTGTAAATATAACCTATCTGTGAATTAGATCAAATGTAAAAGTCAGCCGAATTAGTGTTGATACTGCAAGGAGACGTATTGTGTGAAGAGAAATTGAAGATGTTGTTTAATTGTTGAATATATTTATGATCCACGTCAAGTATTCAGTTTCGGCGGCATTTTCTCAGTTTTTCCAAAGGTCTTCTCATCAGGGCTCTATAAATAAAGAACTACGGCAGATCTGTAATATGTAATGCAGCCGAACCGTGTATTACAATGCCGTTATGTGATGACTTTCAAAGAGAAAAGCAAGAGCGCTCGGAATTAAGTATTATTTTATTCTTTTAAAATGTTTTCCGGATTTCATATCATATAAACACCAAATCCCAGCATGCATTGCGGCTAAAACATCCAATAAGCGAGCTTAAAACCATAGCTGAAGATCTTGGGTAATCGCTCGAAATGCCTACGTCTGTTTCCGGTTATTTTTATTTTGAAATTCTGTTCCTGACGGACGCCAAAAAAGCCCGAGATTATGGAATTAAACCAATAAATAAAAGCAAGGATAATTGTGTGTTATTGGTGAGTAAATAACGTGTGTTATTTTGAAAAGAATAACAAATTAGAAGGAAAAAAAGATTTAAAAAATACAGATTTCAGTATCCTGAGGCTCTGAGCCCCATTTATTTTCCTCACAGACGGCAAGAAAAGTCCGAAATTATACGATTTCAAATAAAAGCAATAACTGTGGCTTGATATTGAGTAAGAACATGTTTTTATGAACCACACAGCTTCCGGTCTTCCTCGACCCGACCGGAGAAAAAGACGTGCTGCAGGCAGTAGAAATACATTGTTTTTAAAATCGTGCTGTGCAACACGAAAAAAAGGGGAAAATCGTGTTGGTGAACACGAATCAATAGATTAAAAATCGTGTTGGTGAACACGAATCAATAGATTAAAAATCGTGTTGGTGAACACGAAATGCCGTGAGACTGGGTTGGTATACCAGCACAAGACCAATTACTCATTTTTTTTTTTTATCAGTTTTTATCATTAGTCAGATGAGGAGAATAACATTTTACCTGGAAACCTCCAGTTGTTACCAAGTCCACCTGAGCCAGGTGCCACATATTTCCATGGTAATTTCTCTTCCACCAAACAGCATCAGCTAATATATCCTGGAGCAGGTAAACATGGAGGCCCATTGTATCTGCTGAGCCGTACATGTGGTACCAGAACTGCAGACACTGAGGACCAGAGTCAGAACACTCAGAGCTAATGAGACGAGCTGTGTCACCATGTGACGCGCTGTTGGCTTCGATGTAAAGATAGTGGCCACCTGGTTAAGGACAAAAGAGTTTGAAAAAAAGAAAAATTCATAGCATACTATAAGTTCAAGGTATATCAAGATGCAACTGAAATGGTTGCTAAATGTTGACAATCCAAATATCCTCAAAACACTAAAATGCAAAACATTTCTTAAATGGTAAATGGACTGTACTTATATAGCGCTTTATCCAGTCTCTTTAAGACCCCTCAAAGCGCTTTACATACTACATGTCGTTCACCCATTCACACCCATTCATACAGAGCAGTGTATATTACTCTAGGAACTAACACGCATACACATTCACACACCGTTGGCCATGCCATCGGGAGCAACTCAGGCCAGGGTTAAGTATCTTGCCCAAGGATACATCGACATGTTGACTGCATGGGCTGGGATCGAACCCACAACCTTCTGATGGAAAGACGACCACACTCCCTCACAGCCACAGTCACCCTTAATTAATTGCCCATCCTCAGGATGTTAACGGAAAGATATCTTATCTTTATGTAAAACAGTACACCAGGAACTCATAGCCTGACAGTCTACAATTATGGTTGAACAGGGAATAACTATTTCAACAACCAAAATGTTTTTCACCTTGTGACTGTGTGGCTGAAACTGGGGTATAAAGGGTGTGCAGACAGTACAACACAAAAGTTACATGGCTTGTGTGAGAAAGCTAATTACCTCCCGTAGTGTGATCTGAAGAAGGCCCACTCATTATAGTTGGGGTGGAGCTACTATGCCTTGTCCAATCGATAACATCAGACCCAACATCAAGTTGGGTCCACTGACATAGATCTTGTTCATAGTTGCAGTTGAGTTGGCATACTACACACACAAGTCAAAGATATCTTTAATTAACTGGAAATCACAAAAAGATTATAAAAGTTCAGACAGCCGGGGTTACACATGCTGCTATGGAATTAGAACTTTACCTGGGTGTCTGTTATCTGGAGCTTGAGTAACGTTGTCCTTATTAAAGTCGGTTGTTGCTGCCACTACGGGACGTATGGTAACATTTGCTTCAGAGGGCTGAGCAGTTACATTGACTTGAGGGGGCTCTGGATCTGCAGTGGATGGCACAGGGACACTTGGAGAAGCTGTGCTTCCATCAGGTTTGGAAGGACTTGTTGACTCAACACCACTCAGATCTGCAACAGTTTATTTAAAACATTATCAGATTACACAGCCTTGGGATAAATATCACATTTTTAAGGTTTAGTGATTTTCATTCACAGTGTATGTTTTTTTACCAGAGCATCGTCCACGATAAAGCTTTACATCATCTATTGCCAAATCTGACTTTTCATTGGAGCCTCTACGTCCCTCAATGATAATCTAAGTTATGGAAAAAGGATTAGTTATCATTTTGCAGTCTCTTATTGTTACAATTTACTTCTACAACTTCGTTGGCTGACAATATTTTAATAATTTGAGTGCCTGGTGGAAGATGTTGCACCTGGAAAGCTCGAGTTGTTCTGATGTCCACCTGAGCCATTTGCCACATATATCCCTGGTCATTAGTCTTCCACAAAACAACTTCTGTTTGTCTGTCCTGGAGCAGGTAAACATGGAGGCCCATTGTATCTGCTGAGCCGTGCATGTGGTACCAGAACTGCAGACACTGAGGACCAGAGTCAGAACACTCAGAGCTGATGAGACGAGCCGTGTCTCCATGCGTCACGCTGCTGGCCTCAATGTAAAGATAACGACCATCTATGAATGAGAAGCGAAGTGATCAACATTTTCACATACACTTTCTACGGTGAGATAGATATTTTCAATACCTCTGTGTCATACCTGTGATCATTTATAATATTACATAGAAAAAGGGTGTATTACCACCAGTGTGGTCCGCAGAGGGCCCAGTCATCAGAGTGGGGGTGGAACCTCTTTGCCATGTCCAGTCAAAAGCATCTCTGATCATCTGACTCCAGCTACAAAGACTGCTATCGAAGCTACAGTCCAAATTGCAGACTATAAGGGAAACATTTGCAAAATATGAACAGGAACTAAGTATTGAGGACCTTGGCAACTTCCTAACCCTTTAGAAAATCTTTAACTGGGAGTACAATCACGAGACATAAATGTTCAATTCTAACCACAAATCAGCTTTCTCACGTAGAAACAATTGGCCCATAAAAAAGGCTTCCTGTGCACTTACCTGGGTGTGAGGGGAGGACTTCCACATCTGAGGAGGGAAACACAGTTCCACTAACCAGGCCAGGGACACTACCTAAAGGAGGACATTATTGGTTATGTTTAAACCCTGAGAAATGGTCATGATTTGAGATAATATAATTTATTTGTAGCATTAGAAATGTCCTTGTATCCTCAAGTCATATATATTTAGTCAAATATAAAATGCTTTATTTAGTTAAATGAATGTCACCTAAACATGAGCCAAAGTTTATGGAAATGTCATCGATGGCCACATCTGATTGAGCATCGGAGCCTCGAATTCCCTCAAGTAAAATCTAAAAGATGTCAAAGGGAAAAATAAATGTTTTAATATACAACTTCAATAATATATTCTTTTAGGCCATTATATTGTCTGTAAGGTGTCACTTACTTGGAATGGACCAGACACTCTGATATAAACATGTCCTAGATGCCATTCTGGACCTTGGTTGTTCATTATGGACCAGAGTTTAGTAGCTTTATTGTCTTTGAGCAGGTAGATATTGAGGGCCATGGCGTTGGCTGAACCATACATATGGTACCAGAAGTTCAGCCAGAGTGGTCCATCATAATGGCACATTGAGCTCCAAAGACGAGCTGAATCTCCATGGGTTACACTACTTCCTTCAATATACATGTAGAAACCAGCTGCAGAAAAGTTGAAATTAGCATTACAAACATGCACAATTAAAATCAATGCAGCAACTTTACAGATGTGATATCGTCGCCTGACATTACGTTTTACCTCCAGTGGTGTGGTCTTGGTTTGGGCCAGTTAAGCTTGATGGTGTGGGTCCTGAATGTCTTGTCCAATCAAAACTGTCCTGCATGAGCTGCTCCCACCCACACAGATTATTTTCAAAGTCACAGTTTATGGGACATACTGTGAAAAATCATATAAACAAGATCAGAATGACAAGTATTATGGCTTATTATGCATAGGAACATAACATTATGAAAAGTAGATAAAAATACATTTTCCAAGAAAACATGATTTCATCCAGTCCGTAGATAAATATTATTATTATTAGTCAAAGTTATTCTAATAAATGTATGCATTTAAATACTGTATCTGTTTTTAAGGCAAGCAAAGTAAATCCAAAGTTGGTTTTGAAATGATTCATTATGAATTTAATTTTCCCACTGATTATCCAAACCAGTAACAAAAAACATTCCCAACCCTGAATGCTCTTACAAGTCTGATCTGTTGTAGAAGTAGTAGTTGAACGTGGTGGTCGAAGAATTGTAGTAGGTGTGGGTTCAGCTGAAATAGGGACAACAGAACAAAACATTTTTGGCCTCATAGGAGATATATATACAGAAAAAAAAGAAGATTGCCTCAGACATGGCTCTCAGCCCAGTTGCAGTTGACTCTGCCATAATCCTAACAATTAAAAGCAACAGCATAACGTTTTGAAGAAAATCAATAATTAGGTAATATACTTAATATGTTAAACTGCCTCCCATCTTAAATGCATTTAGATTACACACTTTGTGTTCATTAATTGTCTCACAACTAAATATCATTAGACATAAGTCGAAAACACACTATAAAGTAATCACACTGTTACTCTTATCCTAATGTCTGACCTACACACTCACCACAGGCTGTGTCTGTCTGCCAATGAGGTAGCTCCATTCCTGCAACATGGCATGCTGCTGCATAGGACTTAAGAGATTCACATAGTGTGTGTCGGTCACCACGTGTAGCACAGAAGTCATACGCACAATCGCTGAGGTAGATGCTTGGGTGAATGGTTTCATGGCAGGGCTTGAAAGCGTCCCCAAGTAGGATGTAGCACTCATTGTAGGCCTCATTCTCCTCATCAACATCACATTGTCTGGGATCATCTGGGTGGGAAATACACCTGAACGAGAAAGTTTAGACTGATATAGTGATATTTCTGTTCCACTTTGAACAAACGGATATGTTGATAAGGTTTATTAATACTATTTATGTGAGGAAAACACAATTTGACAACTTCTTCAGGTTATTCATAAACTACAAAGAAAGCCAATATGTCAGATTGGTTTCAAGATAATGGTCTAATGGCTATTATTTATTTTCAAAGAACAAACAACTGCCTCTTAACAGAAAAATGTTCAGATATTTCAGTACATTGGCCCAGCAGGGGTTTATGCTAACATGAGTAGAAGGTATAATGTTTTCCATGTTCTGTGGCTAAAATATGTTTTCTTCACTTTCTTTTGAGATGGTACGCCCAAGCCCCCAGGAAGTGCGCCGGACTCAGATGAAAATATTCGTGCTGGCCAAACGGCGGTACTACACTTCCGTTTGGTTGCCAGGCCCGGAAACACTTTTCCCATTGACTTACATGGGGAAAGAGTGGTCTGTAACTCGTTGGATAATTTTTTTTAAACTAAATAAACTACCCAGTATGAACACTTGTATAGCCCTTATTAAAAACATTCGTTCCTCAAGTTGTAAAAATTAGCTAATAACGTTATTCTGAGAGTTATTTCCCTCTGCATTATGAACGCGCATCTAACCCACGAAACCACACTGTGCTCCCAGGGAGGGTGGGGCTGGAGCTATTGGAGCTATTGGAGCTACAACGAGCCGTTAAAGGCAGAGAGTGAAATTCAGTGAATACACGTAGTTTACAGAGATGCTGTATAGAAACCTATCTTTACCCATGGATGCACAATAAGAACGGATCCATATCGTCTTACTGCCATCCCACGGAGCTGTAATAATGGATATATTGCACATGTTTGCTGTAATTCATTATCATACATGGGCTGTATGATTAAATCTTGTACCGTAAATGTTGTATTAAATAAAGTTAATATTACCGACATTATTAACGTCCCTGTAGCTTCGTATTGCACTTAGAAGCTTATTGCACTGTATATAAATATATATATATACAGTGCAATAATTATTTAATGCTAAATGAAGCTCTGTTGGATATCACTAGATCCTGTTACAGCGTAATATAAGTACATAACGATTGATGTGTACATTAGCATCATTACTAGCTAGCCGCTAGCTGCTAACTGCCGCCTCGTTCATATCAAATCCATGATAACAACATCCATTACCATGCTGTCATGAACGCACGGTGCTATTACGTGTACGCAAATTGACGTGCTTGATGTGAACGAGCATTTTGGTTAAAGTTGCGCATGCTCTATGAGTGCACATACGGGTACTTCTCAGGCATGCTGGGTAATCTGTAACGTTTCACTCTCTCAAAAGTTGGGCCATTTTATCATCATGCGCTAATGAGCAGCTCTCATAGGAATGAATGAGCCCCCGCCTCCCACGCTGTATCCAGTTCTTATTATACATCCAGCCTCACTTTTTCCTTTTGTATGTTTTAAACTATCAGCATTCATGTGATCTCCACTAAAATATGTATAGATACCATTATAGAAGAAGAGCTTACTCGTTATTGCCTGGCACCTTCCAACTGTCACCAAACTCAAATGGACCAGTTGCATGTTGGCCTCCTGGTGTCACAAAGTCATCCTCCTGACGGTCCGAGAAGGTGCCACACAGTCCGCAAAGTTCATACTTGTAGCGTTCATCAACGTGGAGGAAGAGTCTGTTCTGTGCGTCTATTATCATTCTGAGGCCAAAGGTTGTTTCCAAGATGATATAATTGTTCTTCAGGTAGACCCATACTGAGCCATATGATCCATTGGTGGAATAGGGCAGTCGGACTCTGCTTTTATTCACCTAAAGAGAGGAAAATGTATTATTTGCAATAGTTATTTGTGAGAACTGAGTTTCTTAAGAAAGTCTTGCATAAAAACACAGCACTATTTAATTTTTATTGGGATATTAAGTGCAGCCTTTTATCGACCAACTAGCTGTTCACGGCAAAGGAAAGTAGGTCAGCTCGAAGTTTGTTTGTTCTTAACCCTAGACAAGTGACTTCCCTAATGATTTTACGCAGAGTAATAAATTAACCATATAAACATGGGTGTGCTGATTTTACAGTTGTGAGCTGTGGTGATTTTACAGTTGTGAGCTGTGGTAATTAAGGAAGGACAATACATAAAACAGAACAAGCACTCTTTATATCCAGTAAGGACCTGACCTTTACAGGTCATTAGACACATTTGCATGGACTGTAACACATTTGCATACAGCCTCCGCTCCATTAACCCAATGATATAACAAAGTTGGCATTGTGTGATATGTAGAGAATTTTTGGTGCTTACATAGACCTTCCCGCTCTGATTCAGTGTGACGTCTAAATCGTCAACTTGGAGATCCACAGCTTCCAGCTTGGATGGAGTGAAATTCGTGTGGGGAAGATGCATGTTGTGTCCAATCACAGTGAACTGTACTGAGCTTTCTCCTCCGCACGTGGTAGTCAGCGTGTAACTGCAGCCCCCTTGAAAGTCATATGCCATCCCATCAAAGGTGATATAGTGTGGGTCACCATACACACTGCAGGTGGCAGGTTTGAAAGGAAAGCAGCCTTTGACCCCATCCTTGACTTTACAGACATCATTGTCTGAGCATTGCATTGTGGTGCACTGCACCTCATTTGTACCCACGCACTGACACTGCTGCTCACACTCCCCTTTCGAGAATGATGCTCCTTTCTGCAGGCAAAACAGAGTTAAGTGATTCAATTATAGCACTTTGGAAGTTAAAATGTGAATTAAAAGGTGTTCCCGTTTCATCTAAATCACTTACCTCATAGTGTTTTCCATTATCCCAGCACCCACAGTCCTCTGCTGCGACACACTTTCCCTCACTGAGTTTAAAGCCAGAGTCACACTCGCATCTTTCCTCACAGCTTCCACAGGAGCCAACTGCATCCAAACCGGAGCACATCTCAGGACAACCATCAGCACATGAGTTATAGTGGCTGTTCTTACCACACTGAAGGGCTGAGAGGGGCAACAAAGAAAAGAGGAAAGGGCTTGAACTGTTGTTGCATTATCAAAGTAATTATTTCTTACTATTTTGTTATTTTTGATCAGTGGGTCAATAAATGGCCCATTAAAGGGTCATTAAATAAACATACGGCATAGTATAGAGTTCCTCAATGTGGTTATAGTGACTCCAGCCTCCTGGCAGATATCGGTGTAAATCTGGAATGTCTCACAAAGTACCACTGTGTCACCGTGGGTAGAGCACATGCCGACCACACAGGCCCTGAAGTAGCTCTCTGCCCCCAGAACTGATAGGCAGCCAGCAAAGGGCCCGGTGCTGGAGAGAAGGCCCCCACAGTACAGCTCACTGGCATACTCTGCCTCCTCCAGCGGGTCACACTGATGTGGTACTAGAATGGTATCACAGGAGGAAGTGCTTTGCCAAGTCCGCCAGCTCTCAGCCAAACCTGTAGCATCATGGGCATTTGTTCCATCTGGCTTTCTGAAGTCATCTTCTCTGAGGTGGTTATAGTTTCCACACAAGCCACAGACTTGGTCAGAGTAAGTGGATGGCAGCGCCACTTGGACAGCACCAGCGTTGTCATATGAGACAGAGAGACCAAAACTGGTTTCCAGTTTAACAGCAGCGGCGTTGCTCTTGACTTTGACAGAGCCATTGTTAAGGCTCAGTGGAAGCTTCTTCCAGACACCATTAACCTGAAGGAAAGTTAAAGTTTTAGACTTCCTTACTGGCTGTCATCAGCAATATGGAGTAACTGTATCTCACAGTTAGCATAAGAAGCACCCTTCTGGGAATTGATGAGGGAGATAAGTCTGGGACATTATGCCACTAAACTCTGTACTTTACAATAAACTCAGTTTATCAGTAGAGTTGGCTGCAGATAGGGGAACTGCTCGTTTCAGTACATTTCCCAGCTCAACACTCACTACCCCAGAACGGAAAGGTGCCACAAACCTGAAGTATATGGTACATGCAGTTCTTAGTCATTATGACACCAAAGGGGGTGAACATAGTAAGGAAATACATATTCTTTACCCTTGAAAATATCGTCTCCCTAATGGGTGATGATAAACACAGTAATAAACAGCTGAGCACGATAAATATAAAATAAACTATACATCAGCAATTGATCCCACTAATGTATTTCTAATTATCTATTTTCTCTTTTAAAGTGACTTACCACAATGCGATGCGTCTGTCTTTTCAGCAGGGACACTCTGAAGTTCCCCATGTCCACAATAACCTCCTGAACAGTTGGCAGAGATGAGTTCCAGTTTTTCTCATTCACTACTTCCACACTGAACAATGGCAGAGTCTCAGAGGGTGAGCAGGTCTTAACCAGCGTGTAGGTGCAGGAGGCCATGAAGCGGAAGAGCACTCCATCAAAAGTGCTGCAGTCTGTGTGACTGTGTATCGTGCACATCCCAGAGGCGTGAATCCCACTGGATTTTTCTACTCGAGGACCGCAGATTTGGCCCTTAGGGCACTGAGTAGGAGAGCAGGAGAGATGGCCCCCAGAACAGAGGCAGCGAGTGGACTCATCTGTCCAAAACTCTGTGTTAGAATCACACTGTTGTCCTGTGGGGGATGTGACCGAGTAAACAATCACGTTATAATCACAACACCTTCTGGCTAGAATAACTGAATAGTAACTTGACATACAGTACGTGGATTCATGTTAATGATCACAGTTATTCAACATGTGATTCAAATATGTAACTGATAACTTATTATAAGTAAAACATTCCTACTGCCTTATATTAAGTTCAAACTGTTTTTACATCTTAAAGCTTTAGAAGAAGAGTTTTGTGAAATAGGATATTTTGCTGTTTCACTGACACTAAGCTGACAAGTGTTATGACAGTATTGGTTTATGTTTTGCATACACATTGTTATCACCATACATAGCTGAAAATAACAGGATTTTAGTTTTATCATATGAATCAAAGGTTGGCTGTTGTTATATTAATATTAAAAAAAGATATATATTTACCACATGAGCCTCTTCTTACACCTAGATGATTAAATGTGAACTGTCCCTCCGTGGACACTGCTTCGATTACAACCTGATACAGAAGCAGATTTTTTATTTTTTATTTAACAGTACTATATTTTGATTCCCCAATACTGTTTATTATATGACATTTTACCTGAGTCCCTGGTTCGATGATGTTCAAGGGGACAAATACTTGTCTCCAAGAATCCCCGGGGAGGACAGGTGAGGTCCAGATTTCTCTCAGGCCCGTGCTGCTCTTCAGCAGAGTCCTGAGTGCTGTCCCATAAGCTGCAACGGGGGCTAAATACCAAAACTCTAGATAGGCTTTGCCCTCCAGCACCAGTGGACCGCTCTCTAAAACAGTCACATCCTCTGCAGATGAAAAGGACCGTAAGAAAGTGTAATCAGTAGCTGCTTTTATCAACATAATAAAAAGTGATCAAACTCCCTTTTTTATTAGTTTATTAGTTTTATTAGTACCTTCTGAAGTACAAATCCAATGACAATAGCCTCTCCATTCCTTGTAAACCACTCAAGTCAAATGGTGACATTTATTTTTAACCGCGCAGGTTAGGAATAAGCTTTTATGTCAGATCATAAGTTTTATTACTTAAAAAAAATAGCAAACCATTCCCTCGTCTCTGTAATTGTAATAAAAAAAAGAAGTACATCTGTTGTGGTGCAATAATCATTAAATGCAGAATTGCAGTTTAGTGTGTTTTGTGCTAATTTTGAACCTTAAGTGCAGGCCCTCATCTTTCACTGCCCCTGGGAGAGCCTGCTTCAGATCATTTAGTGATACGCAGCGAGGTACAGACACACAGTCACAGCGCGCCTGTAGATTATAACAGAACTGTGGACTGCTGTTCCAAATCCTCTTCAAAAAGGGTGGGAACAAAATGAAAGGTAACTATACAGTCACAGTCTCTCACTGTCAAAGTGAACTCTTAATAAACTTTACTGTAACCTCCCTAAAAGAAACACATTTCGCTTTCAAATTTGCAGTTCATTTTCCTTTCAGCTTTTGTCTGTACCTGTTCTTAGTTGGGTCCAGTCACACATCTGATTGTTATGTCCGTCGTAGGAACACTGTGTACCATACTCTATGAAAGAAGAACAATGAGTCAAATATTGGTTTAAGTCAGTGTGTGATTTTGAAACATTTTTAATTTAATAAATTGCAACGATATATAAAGTATCCACAAGTCTTAGTAATTGTAAAACGTCATACCTGCATTTTCTCTCCAATCTGGTAAAGTAACTAATGAAAAATCAACTTCAGCCCTGAAATAGAAAAAACAATTTGTGTATTCAAATCCCATTGGTCTTGCCTACAAGTTATTCCAATATTGAAAGTGATTAAATTATAACATTGAGCAAAAATCAAAATGTTATTCACTCAATAAAACCAGTTCAACCCTATTTTTAAACAACATATCAGCTTCATTTTGGCAGTTAAAATGTAATTATCTTGACACCCACCTGCACTGAGTCCATGTCTGAGTTAGAAAGAGTAGAGTCACTGTGACCAACACATCTTTGAAGATGCCTCCAAGCATGGCTGATCTCTTAATGGCAGCCTCCCAGCTGCTCTCCCGTTACTAATACTCTCATTCTCATCCTCATTCTCTCTCTCTCTCTCTCTTCTCTCCTCTCTCTCTCTATCTCTCGCTCTCTCTCTCTCTCTCTCCTCTCTCTCTCTCTCTCTCTCTCTCTCTCTCTCTCTCTCTCTCTCTCTCTCTCTCTCTCTCTCTCTCTCTCTCTCAATTCAAATTCAAAGGGGCTTTATTGACATGAAAGTTAAATTAAACAATGTTGCCAAAGCATCACAATACAAAATAATTAACAACAGTAACATACATTTCAAATGTTTACATATTATTGATGATATATATATATACAGTGATACAATTACATTTCAACACACGTGTGTGTGTGTCTCATTCACTGTCCCTCAGGTTGTGTCTCTCTCTCTCTCTGTCTTTGAGTTGAAGAAAAACGAAGCACGAGTGCATTGTTTTCTGACAAAATTGTTGTAAAAGGCTTAAACAAGTTTCTGCTACACCATGTTTGGTTAAAGATATCAGTGAACTCAATAAAACAGGTGAAAGAAAATGTGATAAGACAGATGTATAGTGTGGGTGTTGCTGTCTGATCCAATATTGTGACGTTCCTGAAGCCCTGGCGGTATGTGTCAACAGATAGGGTGGCACAGAATAAATAGCTCTTTAAAACTGTCAAACCTAAAATAAGCTCTTTGTTAGGAATTTACTACAAGACGCTACAGAGAATATAAACTATCCTCCTGTGTTTGTGCTTGTTGCAAAGAGACGGCAATACACTAACTATCTAAGGAAAAAAAAAATACTTTAAATGTTTGTTGGAAACTGTCAGCTCTCTAAATGCAGAGGTGTTCATCAGTGGCCTTCTACCACCAGTCAGAAGAGGAGTGGAGAGATTCAGCAGATTGTTTGCACTGAACACCTGGCTTTCAACTACTGACCATTCTGTCAATTTTATTGACAACTTTAACTTTTTCTGGGACCGCAGGAAACACTATGCCAAGGACAAGCAACAAGAGGAATCAAAACAAGAGAAAGACACAACACATCGCTCAGAAAACCTTGAAAATCTATCACTGCACCCCCCTGAGGAATGTCTTGATTATGGGAGACAAATGGAGGAGTCTCCACCACCCTTCACCCCCCCTATCACCACTGAGGATACTCTTCCTTCACCCCACAGCTGTCTCTACTCTCCGTTCACCCTTTCACCCTCGCCCACCCTCCTGGAGATTGCTGAATACACGAAGGAGATACAGAGGGTTGGCACCAATTCCTTCTTGGAGTTCAAAGATCAAACTAAGGCGATACGCAGGATTGAATTCCTATCCACCAGGGCATGCAATGATTTTGCCTCCTTCTTCACTGACAAAATTCAGAAAATCAGACAAGCAGTCAGTGCCTCTGCATCAGGTACAACAAATGTGTTGTCCCTGTGTCCACCTAATATCTACAGTGGCCCTGAAGTGCAAGACACCACAGCATTCCCCAAACGCCACAGCATTTCACAAAACGCCACAGCATTTCACAAAACACAACAGCATTTCACAAAACACCACAGCATTTCACAAAACACAACAGCATTTCACAAAACACAACAACATTTCAGAAAACACCACAGCATTTCACAAAACACCACAGCATTTCACAAAACACAACAACATTTCAGAAAATGCCACAGCATTTCACTAAACACCACAGCATTTCACAAAACACAACAACATTTCAGAAAACGCCACAGCATTTCACTAAACGCAAAACACAACAGCATTTCACGAAACGCCACAGCATTTCACAAAACGCCACAGCATTTCAGAAAACACCACAGCATTTCACAAAACGCCACAGCATTTCAGAAAACACCACAGCATTTCACAAAACGCCACAGCATTTCAGAAAACGCCACAGCATTTCACGAAACGCCACAGCATTTCACAAAACGCCACAGCATTTCACAAAACGCCACAGCATTTCAGAAAACACAACAGCATTTCACAAAACACCACTGCATTTCACATTATGGAAAGGGTATTCCTTAGGGAGAACACTTCTTGTTTGTGATTGGACAGAGCCAGCCATAGGAGCATTGCTGTGATTGGTTGTTTTTGCTGCCAGTCAAGAAATTACGCTTCGTGATTGGCCCAACATATCAGCCGTTAGCTGTTAGCACACACTCAGAGCTCACAGCTCCTCATATCTGTTCAGAAACTGGACAAAAGTTCAAGATATACAAAACACAGACTGTCTATGTCATGGCGAATACAGTCGCTGCTTTATTTATGTCTGTATGACGTTGTTGTGAGCGTGGACGGATCAGCTACAGGTTAGTTTAGCCTGGTCGATCCGATTCCGATAGGATTTACATGGAGATACGGCCCGCCCCCTCTCCAGCGTCTTGTTTGAATTACAGGAGTAAACACAGAATTAATGCTTTATTCATTCATGGTTTTTAACGGGCTTATCTCCATGTAAATACTATGGTAGACTACCCAATATTCGCATCGCTCTAATCGCTCGAGTTTCACTGCGGCTGTCAGCTGTGTTTACTCCGTTTGCTCCTGTCATTCAAACAAGAGGCACATGATGAATTGGAAATGGGGGACCCTGATGTAAACAAGACGAAAGTCTTTCTCTGGTCTGCATCCCCTTAACAATTGTATGTTTTGAGCTGTACTGTACTGTACCCAATATACAAGCTGTTAATACACTTTTCAATCAATCAATCAAAGGCGCTGGAGAGGGGGCGGGGCGGGGCGGGGCGTATCTCCATGTAAATTCCATGGGAAATACCAACTACAACAAAATGAACATATTTGACCGTAATTTAATTGTAATACACGTTTCAAAGTGATGCCGAAGCAACTACATACTGATAACGGTTAGTAAAACCCATGAATTAACGCTTTAACAAGTCTGCAAACAAGACGGCAGGCGAAAAGCTTTTAAAATGCGTGCTTTCTGAATGGAATCGGATCCATCAGGCTAAACCTTTATATATACAGTCTATGGGCTAAACTAAC